GGTAGCTATTGGTGCTGGACGCCTATATGGCTTACTGTGGTTCGAGCCCTGGACCTAGTGGCTTACTTTCTCACTTTCCCTCTCTGTCTACTTTTCTCTGATCATATTAAAATAATAATAATAATAATAATGAATAAAATTGAATTAAATAATTCTTTTTTAGAAAGTAAAATAAAAAAAGATGTAGAACTGGAAATGTGCATTTCAGGCTCAAGTTGGTGGCTAGTTAGCATTGAGAGGTTGTGCAAGTCGCTTACATCTCTGTGTGTCAGTTTTCTCATCTTTCAAATAGGGATATACTTGTACAATTTCTCTCACAGTTCTGAGAGTGGGCTCCATTATCACTACTTCACTCACTCACTCACTCACTCACAGAACACTGGCTCTGCACCAGAAGCTGGACAGGGTTGAGAGAACAGCTATAAACACATCATACTCTTGGACCTCGAGGAGCTTGGTCTGACAGAGAAAACATGCAGACCTGCTCTCTAAGAGTTGCCCATTTCCTATTGCACTTCCTCAGGGTCAGAATTATTTTCTAAATGAATAAAAAGATGTCAAGATAAAATGTTCTTTTAAAGTAATGGAAAAGACGTATTTTACTTCTGTACTAAATTATAGTTTTCAGAAAGGCCAAACCATGGCTTTGATGTCAAATTTTAGTCAAGCTTTTAATTGGTGCAGAAACCAGTAAGATGTTAAAAGCAGTTTGAATAAGAAACTTTTCTAAAGTTTATTTACTGGGGGACCAGCAGGTTGCCTGGTGGTTAGAGCAGCTGGACTCCCACACGGCTGACCGCAGTTCAAGTCCTAGATCTGGCAGCTTGCTTTCTCACTTTCCTCTTCTCTCTCTGGTCAACTTCAAAAATAATAATAATAAAATAATGACAATGAATAAAAATTAAGAAAAAGAAAAAAGAAAAAGGTTATTTATTTATTTCTTCCCTGAGATGGAGAGAGAGAGACAACCACCAACAGGGTCTCAACACTGTGATCCACTCCCAGATTTCAGCCAGCCCCAGAACACAGCATACATGCTCCCAGTGTACTTGAGATCTCTGAACTTGAACGGGAAGCTTTCCTATATGGGATTGCCTTGCAGAGCATTGCATTTTACCACTGTGCCACCATCTGGCCTCCAAAGATAATTTTGAAGAACAGAAATACGTATGTGCATTTTTAAATGCTGAAATGAAATTGCCAGTGAATGTAAAGATGGTTAATATTCTTAATATCTTACAAAGCTATATTAATATTACAGTAATGTAATATTAGGGGTTTTCTTCTCTTTTTAAGTTTTGATATAGGGTTCATGTGCTTACCAGAGAGAGAAAGAGAGAGAGGAAGAGTGAGAAATCACTCCCTGGTGGATGACCACGCCAAAATCCCTCCTTCTCCTGTCTCCTCTCAAGATTTTGGGCATGTACACACACATCCTGGGCATGATTTTTTTTTTTTGGGGGGGGAGAGGTTTTCGCTATAGGGCACGTGCGCTCTCCAGACAGACAGAGAGAGACAGAGAGACAGAAAGCGAGAAATCACCCCCCAGGGGGGATGGTCACGCCACAGTCCCTTCTCCATTCTCCTCTTGGGATCTTGGGCATGCACACACACACGCCTGGCATGAGTTTTAAGCCACCGGGTCCAGGACACGAACCGCAGTCGACTACGTGGGAGTCCAGCGACATAGCCATTACGCTAACTGCTGGTTCCCCTGGGCATGATTTTCAAGCCACTCCCTAGTCGGCCATGTGGTCTCCAGCTCCTTAACCTCCATGCCACCAGCTGGCCCAAAAGTCTTCTTTTCTAGAGGAGATAAGTCAGTTGTAACTTTATCAGATAAAATTTATTTCTATTACTATGAGTAAGAATCATTTGCAGGGCTGACAGGGGGCATGGTGGTTAAGGCACTGGACTCCCATGTGGCCAATGCAGTTCAAGTCTTGGACTTGGCGTCCTGCTTTCTTTTTTCTTTTTTTTGGAGAGATTTTCACTATAGGGCATGTGTGCTCGCCAGACAGACAGAGAGAGACATA